ATGCACATGAAAGCATACATGACAGTGCGGCAGCTGTCTAACGGATCGAATTGAAACTGTGCAAATGTACTACAAAATTAAAATTGGGAAAATTAAACCAATTGTATTGATGCTTTGGCACTAGTGGAACATAGAAATAAACCTAAAAGTCCCTTTTGTTCAGACTAATTAACTTAAAGGGAGCAAACAACGCGGAGGGGGCGGGGCTGGAACCCCCTCCGTGTACTTTTTGGGGTCCTATCGTCGCAATGCATTTATTAAATTCTGCCAAGTTTCTCTGACAGTTGTTCTGATGTCATGCGGTTATTTTGACACCAACTTTATGAAAACAGGGCATACCTTCGCCACAAAATGTTCAAATACCTAAAGAGGTGCAAGCTTAAATTAATGTTAACTTTTCCATTATCTATTTATGACGTACATCGGAGGGCACATGAGATCGAGTGTGCCGACTCTAAATGATTATGACAACAAAACATTTAAATAGGTGGAATTGAAACTTTAGAGATATCGATAGGTGTTCTGGACTCGTTTCATTAGAGATATCGACTTCTGCTTAAAATAATGGGTAATAATGCAAAAGTACAGGTAGCAGGAGCTGGCGAATTAGAAATAAATAATATAGTACAAATCAATTTTCCGGTTTGCAGCTAAAGAATTAATTGAATCTTAAGGGGCAGTTGGTATAGGCTCACAGAGCTGTTAAGGTCAAATATCGTAAAAGGTTGTGCACTTTGAGACTAAAGTATAACACTTCGTACATTGGTTCTTCATGCAATGAATGTAATGATCAGATGTGAAAAAAAATGTTTCAAATTTGCCTTCTGGTCACTTACGAGTTGTTAATTAACTTTGTATAAACTCTTTATTGATATTTAAAGATGTACGGTATTATTCAAACCCTACTTTTCCACGACCCATATCTAATTTTACGATATGCGTTCTAACCATGATAATGAACTTTCAAAGGTGGGGAAATAGCTGGTAAAGTAACGGGCGTCGCCAGGATTTTTTTCTAGAGAGGGCAAAGCACAGCCCCCCCCCCCCCCCATTGAATGACCAGTAATGACTTCGCTTCTCTTTTCCGTTCCGTTTACCAGTCTTTCTCCTTTTTTCCTTTTGTTTTTGCTTTTCCGGGGGGGGGGAGCAAGTGCCCCACATTGCCCCCCCCCCTCGCGACGCCCATGTGAGAGATCAGCGGTCTTTGTATATCCATTTTCCACTATTACTTCAAAATGCCAACTTTTCCTGGTCCAAGTCTAAAAAATAAATCACAAATTAATTTTGACAATTGTTCTACAGGATCTCACGAATTAAGACCCATTAGAGCATCTAATCCCCATGTCGCCTGTTTTCATGCCCGGCGACGCAGGCGCAACATAACATACATGAATAAATCATAAGAGGCAAGCCGGACAAAGTTACAACAGTGCACCAGTGAGTTTGGTAAAAGGGTTTATACAAAATGTGGCTGGTTATAGTGAACTAGAAATAATGTTTAGTTTGGAAACATTTATTTCAATGATGTCATTCATTACAATTATGTACAATCATGTATAAATTAAGAAAGGTCAGTAGTAATATATATGACAGTTATGTACACAGTGATTACTAATAAGTGTAATATTAAATGACAACAGTTAGGTATAAGGTTAAGCAGACGCTTTTGTGCCCTTACCTATGGACAGACATACAACCAAAATACTGTAACAAGGGACAAACAAAACACAACGGTAGACAGACAGGACAAGTGTGTGAGACAAGGCCTAAATATTAATGCACATATAACATTTCAATTTATGAATATGATTCGATATAATGATTTTTTAATTTTTTGACAAAGACAGATAGTGAGGGTAACAGTTTAAGAGAATCATCTAAACTATTCCAGTACAAGGTGCCTTGATGAACCACACTGTTTTTTGACATTGACGTCCTGTTAAATTGGACAAACAGATTTCCCTTAGCACTACTTCGGGTGTTATATACATGAACATTAGATGCTAAGGTAAAACTAGAATCCAAACAGGACGGGAGTAGATTATGCTTAAATTTAAACATTAATTTTCCTAAATTAAGGTAATATAAGTCATTACATTGTAATATATTTAATTTAGCAAATAACGGAGCAGAATGATCACGATAGCCAGCATTTGAAATTAAACGAACTGCTCGCTTCTGTAAAGTAAGTAATTTGTTACACATAGATGGCAAACTGCCCCAAGTCAAGATTGAGTAATTTAAGTATGGTAAAACAAATGAATTATACAATGTTAATAAAATCTTACTCGGAAGATAATATTTCAAACGATTCATTATTCCAACGTTCTTTGATATTTTTGTCGCTACTTCATCAATATGATGTTTCCAAGTGAGATTTTCATCAATAGTTACACCCAGGAATTTAGTTATCTTAACCTGATTAAGCCTTGAGTTATTTAAATTCAGAGGAACAGATTGTGTGTACTTGTACTGATTGGCACAAAAAATCATATAATTGACTTGACAACATTAATAGATAATTTATTTGCGAGAAGCCATGTACTGATCTTTTCAAGTTCCATATTTAGGTTACTAATTGCTTCATCTACATTATCGTGAGTGTACAACAAATGTTTCATGGTTGGGTAAAGCGCTTTGGCTACTTTGATTCCGTGCAAAGATCATAAATCAGAGGTTTTGAAAAATAAAAATGATAAGGTAAACAAAGTTAATTGACCTGTCCTAGGGCAACGGAGGTCTGATGCTCTCCCCACATCGGATATTATTTTAATGGACAACGGAATATCAGTAGTTCATCTGTGAAGATTTAATTCAACCTGTTGAAATGTTTTGTTGTCGTGGTCATTTAAAGTCAGTCGGCACTCTCTGCAACCTCCGATATACGTTATGTAACGTGTAACGGAACAGTTAACATTTAAGCGTATACCTGTGTAACGGTTGGCACTCGCATCCGCAGGGTAACTTTCATCGTCGTCATTTCAATCCTAAATTTCAGTTGTACCGCCCTTAGGGGGGGGGGGGGTTCGCAAGTGTGCTGAATGGATCGAGGTCTAATGAAGTCAAATAAATCAAGCACAAAACACAAGGGTCTAGACTGAAGCGTTTTGGGTCATTTTTCTCATGATACTTCTTGGATATCACAGACAGTACATCCAAACTAGGTTCGCAAATTCCCAAAAGCTCCTAAAGGACTCTAGAAAGGCTCCTCAAAGTTCCCGAAATGCTCCCATAATGCTCCGTGAGAACTGTATAGTAACAAAGAACAAAGTTACAAAAGCATTAAGTACATGTAAACTAACACTAACAGTAATTAATAAACATACAAAATCACAGGGTCATGTATCTCCACATGTGCGTACAATTTAGGGCAGGTTTTCCCAAGCAAAACACAAATAAAGACACCAAATTTCCCATTTCCAAACTAGTATGACAATAAGAATAGTTAGGTAGATTACCTCCTTGCGTGCACTGGATTTGTAGTTGACGAAAGTTGGTAATTTCTGACGACTTGTTACGTTTCTATCGCTAATAAAACAAAACGTTGCTTAAGATGGCGACCTCCATTGAAATTTAGACTATGCCTCTGTTCGTTGGTGTTTGAGAGAGGGCGCTATAACAACTTAGTGGCAAGTTACATTTACAACCTGTTTTCGTAAAGTTGGTGTCAAAATAACCGCAAGACATCAGAACAACTGTCAGAGAAACTTAGCAGAATGTAATAAATGCATTGCGACGATAGCGACCAAAATGTGCTTGGAGGGGGGTTGCGGCCCCGCCCCCTCCGCGCTGTTTGCGCCGCTCTTAAGTTAATTAGTCTGGCCAAAAGGAACTTTTAAGTTATATTTTCATGTTCCACAAGTGCCAAGGCATCAATGAAAATGGTTTAATTTTCCCAATTTCAATTTTGTAGTACATTTGCACAGTTTCAATTCGATCCGTTAGACAGCTGCTGCACTGTCATGCATGCTTTCATGTGCATGTACTTTTCAATGGGAAAAGTTAACATTTAGGCCTACCTGTGTTGGAAAATGGACATTTCGTGACGAAGTTATGACTTATTTTCATAAACTTGGTGTCAAAATAACCGCAAGACATCAGAACAACTGTGAAAGAAACTTGGCAGGATTTAACAAATGCCTTGCGATGATAGGAGCCAAAATGTACAAGGTGGGGGGTTGAGGCCCCGCCCCTCTGCGCTTTTCCCGTCGTTCTTAAGGTAATTAGTCTGACCTAAAACCACTCTTAAGTTAAAATTTTATATTCCATAGTGTTAAGGCATCAATACATACTGGTTTCATTTTCTCCTCTACCGTTGCGTTGCAACGGTATCAGCGAAAAGGAAAAAGAGGGGGTGCCGGCCACACCCACCCTCCGCGCTTTTCGGGCCGTTCTTAAGTCAATTAGTACTGTCTGATCTAAAATCATTCTTAAGTTACATTTCTATAATCTACAAGTTCCAAGCTATCAAATGAAACTGGTTTCGTTCTTGTTCTCAACATTTTGATTAAGTGTAAAATTGGCCCCATGTGGAATGGCGCCAAAGTCTGATCTAGCGAAATGATCAGGGTCGATGATACTATGCTTTAAGGCAATCAGGAAATTGTTCTCGAAATTTTGATTAAACACTATCCAGCTCTCCGTTAAGGCCTACAGTAAAAACATGCCCTAGAAAAACTGTTTAGCTTTGAAAAATATCGGTAAAGAATAACATCAATTTTTAAATGGTTGCGATTGTTTGTTTTTCTACCTATGTTTTTCTACCTATATTTTTTCAAAGGACACATCTGCGATAGCCAAATATCTTTCTCATGACAAACTCTTACTGGGTGTCAAATTGTATCATCAAATGAACAATCCCATTACCAATCTGCCGTACTATAAGCTTCTGAGAAAGATGAACATTAAGGCAACAATAAAAATATTTCTGGAAAAAAAGACGAACAAAATTAATTTGTAAATGATATTTGCATGCTTTCTTCTATTACAGAGACGGCAAAATGGGTAGGCGAGTCGGAATGCGATGGATAGCATTTCTATTATGCTGTAAGCGGTCACACATTTATATATTTTTGCAGACTTACGATGTGATTTGGATGCATGGATTATAAATTAAAATTATGTAATCATATTGGTTTTTTTTGTTTTTTACCAAATTACAGGTAAATTGACTTGTTCAAGTCCGAAACCGTTAGACGGTTGAACGGGAAATTCCAATGGGGTTAACGATGCTTAAATACTCCGTGTTCTTTAAGACATGGGTTTTATGCCGACGAATTTTCAAACTATTTTTTTTTCTTTTAAAACAACCCACATACTTAAATCCGATTTTGGACGTCTTCAACCATCTACAAAAGGGCTTTTATTTTCTGTACAAACAACCGCCCAGAGCCGGGATTGTTTTGTTCAATGACTCATTCAAAAGTTAATCACTTTTATATTGTGTCAAATTGCATTTGCCTTTAGCCAAAAATTAAAATGCTTGGCTCTTTCTTGCAAAGTAATCTATTTCTTAGGCGATGAATAATAAAATCTGATATCATTTCTTGTTTTGCTTCAGGCGGATTTGTCCAATTGAACATTGGTGGAACCGTGTTCTTGGAACGAGGACAACGAGGGATCGTGCCCTGTCCTCTCATCAAATCTCGCCAAATCTCGCCAGGAAACGTCGACGCCATGTACTGGTTCTTTGGCTCAGCAAGCGACGCATCCATCCTCATCTATTACTTCTTTGGAAAAGTGGCTCCCCAAAACGGGATCCCAGAGGGCGTCTATGATATCGACAGTGAGTTCAGTCTCATCATTGAGAGCGTCACCGCCTCCAATGAGGGAACCTACTACTTTCAGGTCAAACCGCATTTGAAAATGATAGAAGAGGGACAGGTTGAAGTTAGTGATAAAGGTGAGTCCATTGATTTTGCATCAAACCATTTATTTGGCTTCAATTTTACTGTGCAGAATTTAAAAAATTCTTTAAAATATACAAACATTTAAACAGAAATGTTTAATTGATTTACAGTCACCTTATAAAAGCTATATTTGCCAGAAATTACTGACATTTTGCTCGGTACATTTCACAATGTTCATGGTGCTTAGCATAAATGTATAATGTGCTATTGCAAAGATCACAAGCAATGATACATCATATGGCATGTTGGCTGGTAAAGTTGCGAATGTATTTTCAGTGTTAGGAAATTTCAGTGCCCAGGTCGATATCAGTTATAATGACGTCTGGTTCCTGTACTTTGTCCTGTCTTGAGTCTCGGACAAGTTTCGACTCGAACTTAACCTCAGTCTCTGAATTACATTTTGATTTACATAACACTCTCTTTTGTCAAATAATTATTATGGAATATACTTCTTACCAGTGTAAGTAGATACATGTAATAGGATCAAGCATCCTATGAAATCATTACGCCTAGTCTGGCATTATCAAGAACAGATAAGCAAGGGCGGATCCAGAACACAATATTTTTGACCCAAAGGGGGTCAAAAAAATTTCGGCGTGGGGTTCGGGGCCCGCTTAAGGGCCCCGAGAAAATTTTGGATTCTAGATGCTCTGTGGTGCGATCTGAGGCAATTTCTGACCACTTTAACCAATGTTTTTTTGAGGAAAAGATGGTGGTGTACTCATTGCCTGCCTTTATTGCGATGTCACATAAAAAAAAAAAAATTGGTTTCGTTTGGGGGGGGGGGGGGCATGGCCCCCTTTGGCCCCCCCCCTGGATCCGCCCTTGCAGATAAGTTATCATCATTTTGCCGCGAGGGTTGGGACCAACTCATCCTGAAAAACAACCCGATTTTTTTTTCAAATACCACTCCCAACTGACCGTATTTAGTTTATTATAAGATTGATCAAAGAAATTGACTGCTGCGCGGTTTGAACCTGCAACCTCCAGATTGCCATTCCCGTGCTCCACCAACTGAGCTATCCAGCCCTATGTTGGCAGTTCCCCATTTAGTCAATATCCTTATTCGGGGGGGGGGGGGGCTAGTCAAAAGCCATAAGCCCAGCCAGGGTTTTGGTTTGCGATCGATGACATTATTCGTGAATTAGGATTATTTCCCCAAAGACAAACTGGGATCATACCACAAGAGGGTGCAGGTCAATAAATATTTTTGGGAGGACTTTCAACGGAAACGTTGCTTTGCATGATTGCATCTAGAAAAATGAAGGTGCATTTTTTGTGTTTTCGCGAAGAGTTTATCAACTAAGCTGAATTCTTGGCAGCAGGGTAGTTTCTTATATAACCTTTTTTGCTTCAAAATTATATATTGTTATTCCTTGAATCGGCAAATAACATTTTCTTTCACATGGTGTCCCTTGCCTTTACCAACAGTTTCCCCAAGTCGTCCATATCCTACCGTCATCGGCTGCAATCAACAATACGATGCAGACACGTGCGAGGCGAGAGTACGACACGACAGCACAGTACATAACCTGACCTGCGTCATGGAGCAGGTCAAACCTGCCGTGCAATTGAGGTGGTTTTGGGGCGGGTTAACGGAACTTAAGGCAACAGTAACAGTCAGGCCTGTAGTTCTACCAGCCTACATGGGTAAGCAGCATTCTTATTAATTCCTAACATGTTGTCGTGTATTGCTGTTTGATGTTGACTGATCCCCTAATAATTATAGTCCTAGAAAGGAACAAGATGATACTCAACTATACGAAAGCTAAAAGTAATCATGGAAATATGATTGCGGGAACACGAATGGTCACTTTAAGCGTTCGTACTACCTCAAGATATTCAATGCTGTTTTCTCTACAAGTCATGTTCCGCTACATTTTTTTCCTGATTGTTTGGCCGTATACCATGCTTGTTGTAAGTTGTTGGCATAGGTTGGAATTTCATCAAATTGTTTAAGATCTTTATAATGAGCTCCTCAGGCGCGGTTCTAGAGCCAATATTTGAGGGGGGGGGGGGTGGGGGCTACTGAGCAGGAAGGATCCAAAAAAAATGTCAGGGAGCCGTGCTGAACTGTAAACCGGTTATTTTCTCCGGACACTTTTAGGCCTCTGAAAATCAATGGGGGGGGGGGGGGGGCTTGTGCCATATTTTCAATTGGGAGCACTGATATAATCCCACAATCAGGCACACTACATGTATATTAACTAAAAGTGTACAAATGCACCCTTCTCACGACTATTTTTTTCAGAGGGAGACCGTTCGCATGTATGTCACATTCTTAAATTTTGGCTAGTGCATTTTTTTTTATTATGGAATTTTTTTTTGGAGGGGCAAGACAAAAAACAAATGGGGGGGGGGAGCTAAAGCTACCCTAGCCCCTCCGTAGAACCGCCACTGGAGATCCTTTGATCGAATACACACAAAAGCCTCGGTAAATCCTTGCCTAGGCCATTCAAAGACCGCAACTGCTTCATTTTCGAACGAAAATGTGCTTGCCTCTTACACTAGAAATGGTACTTTCTTTCAAAATCTACCTATTGATTTCAAATCTACTAATAAGGTTCGTCTTTGAGGAACCACACCTATTCAACTTCAGCATCAGTCCAAGTGGCAGCATTTGACGATGAGGAAGTCTACGTGTGTGAGGCAATGGGTGTTGCTGTAGGCAATTTAGGAGCACGTATGATAGTACGCCTTACCAAAGCTCATCACACTACAGTGGCTTATGGTGGGGTTCAGTCCGACAACCCAGGTAGGTAGCAGTGTCATGTAGAAGCCATTTTGAAGGGGATCAACTGTCAATTTGGGAAAAGACGGAAAGCAGATATGAGATGGACGAATGCAGAATGAAGTTTAAAAGAGCTCAATACAGTGAACAGAGAAATGTGAATAGTGTAAATTGTGAAAGTGTTAATATAAGGCAACGAGTGTAATGTTAACATAATGTATAGACCCCTTGCACAGGGGGCCCTCAGTGAAAGCAGTTGGTGTTGTATAATTCACAATACAAGTGCAGAGTGTTTACTAACACGTATCGCCCATCGAAGAGGAACAAAGCCCCGCCCTCAGATGTGACGTCAGATGCAATGGGTCTGTTGGGTAATAGAACAATACAACTCAGCTAAATCAAGTCAGATATTGTTTATGTTATAAGTGCCTTTGGTCTGTTTGTAGGACCAAGGTTTTTTTCGGCTGACGATGAGAAACCCATAACTCCGATCACGAGTGAAGGAATTTTGATAGTGCCTTTGGGTGCACTCGCACTTATAGTCTCATCTGTGGTCTGCACTGTTGTAAGTAAAGTTGCTTCTCGTTATTATACAAACTCCGTTAATGTATATTCAGTTTAAATTAAATAAAATACATGCAGAATGGAAACATTCTTCCGGATTGTACGATATTTTCTTGATGAATGTTTTAACCCGTAGACTCAGTCACTGTCAATCATGTTTTGCAATAAGCTTAATATGATTAGCCTCATGATCAGCTTTTTTTAAGCATGCAGTATCTCCTTGTGCAATAACGTTTGTTAATTATTAATGCAGGTATGCAGAAATGGGAAGAAGAAAGCCGAAGATACAGCCGAACCTGCGAAAACTACTTCCATCGATTGCTTAGTCGAATCCCAATTATATGGAGTGTAACTTTGGTTCTTAAGTTGCCACCTTGTGACCCAGATCGAGTGCTCTTGTGGAACCAGCGGCAGCGATGCAAGTGTTTATGTGTAAAACCTTTTTTCCCCTTTTTTTTTGGGGGGGGGGGGGGGGGTGTGGGGCAAGAAAGGGGTAAATGAATAATTTGGGCGCCAACTTAAAAAAACACCAGAAATGCAAAATGGGCGGGCTGGACATTATTTGACGCTTAAGGGTGCTGTTAAAAATCCATTCATATACGAATTGTGTACTTATGACTGCGTTTTAGGGCCATTATCGAGGGTTTCCAGTCTTTAATATACAATAAGTGTTCAATATATTGAATATTAGTCTACTCTTTTCAATTTACCTTTTCTATTACCTTTATGGTCTTTTATCGTTTTTTTTTTAAATTTTCCTGGCGGACAGGGAGGGGAGTTCAACGATAGGCAACCACCTCCCATGTCTTTTTCCCAAAAGACATCTACATGATGTGGGTGTACGCTAAGGCGTTGGTCTTTATTTCTCTGAAAACATGAGAAGAAAATATAAAATCGGAAACCAAGAAATGAATTTGAACGTAATGAAATTCGAACTTTATTTCCCTTAGAAAAAAATAATTCGAATACTCAGATTAAAAGAAACAAATTCGGGTACAAAACGGTGACTCGAACCTTAACCCACGACTCTGCGGTGCAAAATCACGACTGTATCGAATCAGCTATATCGTACTACACGCCAAATCCTAGGGAAAATATAATTATATACCTGCATACGTATCTTTAAAGTATCGTAAAGGGCGCTAAACAACCGTGTATGTGAATATAGTTTGGGAAAAGAAAGTTCGCCCCCCGTAGCGCTGCCACTAGTAGAAAGTTGAATTGTTACCTCAAGAATGAATGGGAAGATTAATCATTGATCACGTCATGAATGCTGAAATATTTACCTTAAATTAATTTGCTTAACGTCGAAGTGCCCTTGACGTGTTTTTTTTAAAGGTAGCATTAGTAATTTTGTGTTGACATGCAGGAAACTTTCCCGATGAAAAAAAATGAAAAGGGGATTTTATTATTTGTACAATGCGATATGATCGGACTGTGAATGTTATCTATTATTTAGATTAGAAGTAATTCTTTATATCAATTGGTTGTTTTGTACAGGTCAATATTAGGAAAGTCTGTTATCGATGTTGTTTCAAACTGTACATGAATCTTTGTAATAGTTGTACAATATTTATAATAGTTGCTTTACAATCATGCAGTAATCGCATATGCTTTTTTCGTATTGCGCTGTATTGTATTTGTAATACATTGCATTTGTACATGTGTGTATATATAGTCATTTGTATAGTCATGCAGTAATCCCATATGGAGTGGCCTTTTAACGAAATGGTCTGCCAGAAAGAAATGATTGGAGACTAATACTTATTTTGACCTAATGCATGTTGAGGAGTAGATACGTACGAAGTCAATATTTACATGAAGGTGTAAAGTTTTTTTTTCAGCGGTATTGTGAAGTACAGGGAAAAACCAATACAATACGCAGGTTTCAGTTGCTTGAATTTGTACATTCTTAACCTTTCAAGAAACAAACTTTCAAACGAAGATTAACACTCGGATCTGGAAACAATCTGTTGAGATGCTTAATGCTTAATTTTAATTTTACTTATTATTTGCTGTGAACATATTCTTCTAAAAATTTCCCATGTAGGTTCTGATTGTACTTGATTTGTTTTGTCTTGTCCTGTTTGTGTTGGTCCCTTGTATATGTGTGTTTGTGTAACTTAAACTTCATTGTGTAGTTAAGTTAAAGATACAAATGTATTTAATATATATATATTTTTCTACACATAATGGACTTCTCCACTTGACAAGCTTGCTTTTTGGAGATGCCCACCGCTTAATCTTATCCTGTTATCTAAATTATTGTTTAAACCGTTTCCCTTCAAAATGATTAAGTGGAAATAAATATGAATAAATATGAATAAATATGAGAGTGAAGACGACTGTTTTTAGAGCGTCACTTTAGTTTTGGCTTATCCCCTTTCCCTTCATTCCTTCGATGGATTTTCGACACTAAAAACAGCAGGGCGAAAGAAAAAGAACACCCCTAAGCTCAAATGAGGTCCAGCCCTATCCCTCCACACTTTAAACGTGCAACCCGGTCGGTCAGGCCCTACCAGTGATGTACAGTCGAACCCTGATAATAAGAGCGGGGGCCGCCCGATAGTCCAAAAATGAAATAAGGCTCGTTTATCCGAACATTTGATGCAATAGTCCGAAGGTTCATTAATCCGAAGGTTCATTAGTCCGAAGGTTCATTCGTCCGAAGGTGTGGTAGTCCGAATTTAGAATCAGGTTCAATAGGCCGAAGGTTCATTATTCCAAATTGACAACAAGGTTCGATAGTCCGAAAAGACTAAAAGGTCCGATAGTCCGAATCAGCAATAAGGTCCGATAGTCCGAATCAACAGAAAGGTCCGATGGTCCCAAGTGTCAGACTGACGAACCGTATTGCCCATTCGGACTATCGAACCTTATTGTTTAGAATTAAACTATTGACGATGGTAGACAATTGTTGTTGTTTTTTATAAAGATACTGCTGTTTTTGGCTCATCCACTTTCCTTCCTTTTATTTCCTTTAATGGGTATCTAAAACTATAGTAGAAAGCTAAAGAAAGAGGAAAAGAATGCCCCCCCCTTCCCAGAAAATTTGAATCGGCCACAAAAGATTCAGATCCTGTTTAATCAACGCGGAATTTGGCGTTATGCGGGTTCTCAACTCGAAAAAAAATCTTGACTCTGTCGCAGCGAATCGGCGACGTATGGGAGGCTTTAGTAGCAGAATTAAACTTTCTTCGCCAAGGCCGGATCCAGGACGCAAAAAAGGTCCAAACATTTCTGCCCCGGAAGGGGGTGCAAATGTATTGCACTTGTTGAGTTTTGTGAGTGATGTACGCAATGGCTGCCTTTTTTTGCGGCGTTGTAAAAACAACAAAAAATAGTTCTTTTTTTTGGGGGGGGGGGGAGGGGGCGCATGGCCCCCTGGATCTGCCGTCGTCTTCCCACCAAAATCAAGATAATTAAAAAGAATAACCAGCGAGATCAGGAGGCACAAATCAGAACCATGCTGACTGAGTGGGTCCAGAGAAACGCGGGGAATCATAGAATAGTCCAGATCAGTGGCGTAGCCAGGAATTTTCAGTGGGGGGGGGGGGGGGGGGGCGCTGTGGGACTGGAACATTTCATTGGGGGCGTCATGTAGGGGCGTCAATCGCTTCTCAAAAGTAGGGGAAGGACATACCTTGATCAGAACTGATGCGAGCGCGAAGCGCGAAGCCCTTACGGCGTGGGGGTTCGGGGCCCGCTTAAGGACCCCGAAAAAAATGGATTCTAGATGTTCTGTGGTGTGATCTGAAGCAATTTCTTACCACTTTCCTCCATGCTTTAACTAATATTTTCTTAGCAAAAGATAATTGTTTGAACATCGTTTTCGAGGTTGGAGTCATTGAATCAACCAATAATTATCTTAGCACAAAAGAAAATAATTTAAACATAATTTTCGAGGTTTTCTCAGCTATAGGCATAAGAAATTTTTTTTGAACATTGTTTTCGAGGTTGAAGTCATTGAATCAGCTACCAGAATTCTCAGCTATAGGCGTGGGGTTCGGGGCCCGCTTAAGGGCCCCCAAAATTTTGGATTCTAAATGCTCTGTGGTGCTATCTGAGGCAATTTCTGACCACTTTAACCAATATTTTCTAAGCAAAAGATACATTGTAGTACATAATAGGGCCCTGTATATGAGACACGAGTTCAAAAATCTGGGGGGGGGGGACATTTGATATTGTGTCCCGGTCCCCCACCCTTCAAAAAGTGGGGGGGGGGGACCAGTCCCCCTGTCCCCCCCCCCCCCCCTTATCATGTGGATCATTCGCGACTATTTAGATTTAGATCAATGATATTTTTTTGGAAACTCAAAATCTCAGTGGGGGGGGGGGGTGGCGACTGGGGGGGGGACTGGGGTGGGGGGGGGGCGACAAGGGGTCATAGGGGGGGGCGGTCGCCCCCCACGCCCCCCCCCCCCCCGAGGCTACGCCACTTGTCCAGATGCTGGCGGAACTAATTCTAAAGCCAACAGTTAATCTAAACCATTTGGCAATTGGTGAGTCTGTAAAACAATATCCTCTCTGATTCCCCAGTTTTGTTTCTCGTCACAAATCAAAACCATAAAAATTTGTTTTAAGCTTTTTATTTTGAAGTTTGTTTTTTGTGAGTTTTGCTTATTGATAATTTGAAACAATATGTGCAAGACTTTTCTGCGTCACTTCGAAAGAGGAAAGTTACCAAAGAGACAAATCTTATATATATGTAGTTTAATTGCTAGCTGCTTTCTTTATTTTCTATTCATAAGACGGAATTTGCGTCCGGGGATAAAATCAATGTTAGATTTTGCCCTTCACCGACGTATATACACTATACTCATTGTGTTACCTCCGGAGTGAAAGTTGGAAAAAATCACTCTGGTGAGACTCGAGCCCATGACCTCCTGCTTTATAGTGCAAATGCCTTACCACTCGACCACCGAGCTAACGGGATCAGTTGGCTGATCGAATCTGATGTACATGTAGCAGCGGGTACACAAATGCCTGGGTTAATTTTACCCAAGAAAGGGTGAAAACTGCAACTACCCAAAATAGGGTTGTTCTATACCCAATTTTTTGGGTAAAAATTTCTGTTAAATTCAACCTAAACTTGTGGTCATACAATTGCAAGACTAAATTTAATTTGATCTTGTACGACTACAACTGTTGGTTGAATTTAACAGAAATTCTAACCCAAACAAATCGTTTTAGAACAACCCAATTTAGGGTAGTTCCAGTTTTCACCCTTTCTTGGGTAAAATGTACCCTGGCAATTTTTCAGTGCACCGCAATTAAACTATTGATAAGATGGAATTTGCGTCTGGGTGATGTACATCAATATTAGGTTTTGCCCTTATACCGACGTACATGTCATACATAATCCTCTATACTCATATCAGTGTGCTACCTCCCGGTCATTTTGTTTTTCTGTTGCTTCCTCCTCCTATTTTTGAGCAGTGGAGAAAGCCGCAGCAAATGATGGAGATATCGTCCTATGAAGCAGGAGGGCTAATAATGTGGGAGAGACTTCATTGCATCTAGTCGCTCATTGGCCTTTTTTCTGAAATTTACTGAAATTATTTTATGTAAATTAGTGTCATCTGTTATGTCATAATCAGCCACAGAGTGAGTCAGGTTGTGATTTTTCAGTGCGCATTATTTTATAATCAAACTCATTTGCAAACAGTTACTACATGGTGTCCCCCTAAAAAAACACCGAAAGACCATCAAAGCGCCCTCTTTTCACAGCTTAATAAACATCCATCGCAAAAATAGATACATATTTTGAAGAGAATAGTTCATTCGCTTCAACAACGAAAAAATCGTTCAAATCGGGTAAATATTGATGTATTTATTTGTATGTAAAAAAAGGGCGTTTTGATGGTTCGTTCGTGTTATTTTTTTTTTTGGGGGGGGACCCTTTATTATTGAAAGTGTATCAGTTAAAGGTTTTTTGTTTCATTTCCATTACGAGCAGAGATAAGAATAGAGACCAGTAAACTCTGCTAATAATTATGTTTATTTGTGTTTGAATTGGGAAATTGCCAAGATATCATAGATACAAAGAAACTGCCACACACGATGCGTCAACTCTGTTATTTCGTTGGGACTTGTTCGTTTGTTTGTCTGTGTTTTGGGTTGTTTGTTTTGTAGGTGTTTGTCAGATGGCTACTACCAGAAGTAACAATTAAGTGTCGTAAACACGGGTCCAAAGAGCAAGTGGCTGTGGGGTACAGGGCGGTCTTGTTTGCTAAAGAGGGCATTCAGTGAATTTTTAACTGTAAATTCTGAAATATCATTACTTCACTTGATTTAAACAGCCTGGATCATAGGACAACAATTATTTTATTTAAAGGAGAAATCCATTCTTTTATATTCTTTAATTTAATTCTAGTCCTATGTTAATAACACCAACGAATTATTGTGCAAATGTAACAACATACCTATGTTAGTTAATGTCTTGCATGGGTTTGAAATGTTGAATGATTCTCATTTTGATCTTTTACTGGATTACAAGATACACTGAATTCATTCCTGGTATACTTTTCATCCGCGTATATTATGCTCACGTTGACGACCCTATGAATTAATGAAAAAATGTCCATTTTTAAATTGATAATGGTATTCATTGTAAGCTGAATTCCAATAATAAAAAGTTTACATCTAAATTATTGGAGTCCATATTTCTTCAGGATGATTAACTTTACCCTCATCGTGTGAACGTATCTTCTGATTGATCGATCCAACAGGGTTTGGAGGGAGACTTAAATTGAGTAGAAGGCATTCATACAAACACCATGGAATCTGCTTAAGGTGAACTACATGCATTTTCTGTACGCCAACCCACCGACGGTCTCAGTGACAGTTACGTTGCTGTAACGGGAGGGGAGTGGGCATATACCTCCCCCATCCCCCCCCCCTCCATCAGATTACACCATCCCAGAATTGAGAGAAGGCATGAATCTGCTATTTAGTTTAACAACTATGGGCCTTATTCACGAGTTGGGATGGCGCCAGACTATTTATGCAGGCATTAATACATCCTTATTTTACAGTCATTTTTTTAATGTGGCTTTTAACATTACAGAACGTTTAATACCAATTTTAAATTGTTCATGGAAGCAGACTGGAATTAATTAGCTTGCTTTCATTTCTCTTCGCAAGGTCCAAAAATTAAGATTTTACCTCACTTTCAATTCAATATGGCCGACTCGTGCATAAGGCCCATGGAGTACCCCTATCAAGATCACACCATGAGCGATCACCAGAATGACCCCTCCCAAAATTGGACCCCGTGGTACTGAACGGATCAACGGACACAAAAAATGAGATTTCAGAAATGCACCCTTCCACTAAACAGAGGAAGTAGTCTTATAACGAAATGGCATAAATGGAGCCTTATTTTACAGTCATTTTTTTATGTGGCCTCTCTGGACTCCCATAAGTTTAGTCGGGTACCATTTGCAGTCATCAGCCGACAACTTGAGGCAAAACAAATCAGGGCAAGCTCCATACCAGAAACCGTAGATTAATTTTTTGGGGCCTTAGGGTTAGGGTTGGGATTAGGGTATGGGGTTAGGAATAGGAATATGTGCAGCCAAAACATAGGGGTGTCGGAACATAAAGGTGTAACCCATGGAGCATCGAAAATATGAGCCATCACCAGAATGACCCCCTCCCAAATTGGACACCATAATTATGGTGCTGAACGGACCAACCGACAAAAATTGAGACCAGCAATCCACCCTTTCACCAAACAGAAGATAGGAGTGGTCCTATAACGGAATGATCCTCGTGTTAACATTTTTATCATATATTTTTATCCTATTTAGTTTTGTTGTGATCAGTGGAGTTTTGTTGACGTTAGTTTGTGTTGACAATCTTTGGGTGCGTCCGGAGTCAATATTTACTTTTTTACAGCGGTACTGTGAAATCCAGGGAAACAAATAAACTTCAAGTGCACAGATTTCAATGGCTAGACTCTGAACATCTTCACTATTCAAGAGGAGGACATTTAAAGCGAACATTCACACTGGCAAATCCGGGGGGTGCAAAGATGCCGATTTATAAATCTGTTCACAGTTAAGCCACGAACGAGTGAACGCATCTGTTTTAAGAAAGATACTGTTGTTTTTGCTCCTCCATTCCCCCCTTTCCTTCAACGCGGGTATTTGAAATTTAGACTTTTATAAAATCCGGTGTAGCTAGGGATTCCAATCTTACAAATTATGTCATTTTACAATGCATTATTTATACCAAATTGTTTCCTCTCATTCCACACTCGCTCTGACAACCCAACACTGTTAGTCAAGCATTTTTCAAATGAATGATGATGGTATTCAAAACAAGCCGCATTCGCATTATTATTGATCAAAATTTCTTCAGGATTAAGTAAGTTGTATAAGTAACGTTACCTTAATTAACGTTTCCAAATTTCTTCTGATTGTGCATGCGAGCAGTTTGTGCAAGGGAGGGGAATGGGGAGTGCATCCAAGCCTGGCGGCTTCATTAAGAACTTTGGGAAGACCAAGGACGGATCCAGAAGACAATGTTTTTATTTTGGGGAGGGGGGCAAAAACATTTTGGTGCCCCAAAAAGTGGGTTAAACAAATTACGGCGTGAGGTTCGGGGCCCGCTTAAGGGACCCGTAATTTTTTTTGGATATAGATGCTCTGTGGTGCGATCTAAGGCAATTTCTGGCCACTTTAACAAATGTTTTGTTTTTTTGGAGGAAAAGATGGTGGTGTACTCATTGCCTGCCTTTATTGCGACGTCACATAAAAACAAATGGTTTCTTTCTTTGGGGGGGGGGCATGGGGGGGCATGCCCCCCTTTGCCCTCCCCCCCGGATCCGCCCTTGGGGAAGACAAGAATAACCTTCACTATTGTTTGAAAACCACTGAATGACCCAACAAGAAATTAGCCATCACCCTAAATGCTTTCCACCCAGTATGTTGGACCCCAACTGCGACACCACCAACTGACAGACAAACAAACAGATTAACGGACCAACATACATAAACCCCTCCCCTTCCCTTCCACCAAACAGAGGATGGGAGTGGCCCTTGTATGAATTTGCTCGTTGAGGAATAAATATGATTCTTAAATAATACTTTGAATGTGGTATGGAAGTAAAAAAATATGTTGTTGTTGTTGTTTTCAGTGGACATATATATATAGAGACATCCTGGGTGCGTGCCAATATTTGTTTATCTAGCGGTATTGCGAAATGCAGGGGAAAACCAGATACCGTATAAATGACATGACTTTATTTATGATTAACTATTTAAAAGGAGGTCATTTAAATTGAACATTCACACTGGCAGATCCAGGGGTGTATAGTTAAATCAGAGAATGACTGAAGATAACGATTCTGTAGTTTTACTCATTCCCGTTTTCTCCTTTCTTTTGACAGGTTTTATTGAAACTGTCAGCTTTAAGCAGCATCAAATCCCTGGACGTCTATTTTGTTTAGGTTTGGGCATTAAGCTGTAAAGCTTCCTAAGGGTTCTTAAGTTACAGTGGATGCCAAAGCGAAGACGAACCTGAACTTTGAAAAATAAACAACATCATAAATAATTATCCGTTAAAGCCCGAGTCCATCATTTGCAGCTATCCAAAAAAGTAACTGGCGTAATTACTGTTGAAAAACATACTGGTTGAAAGATAGTAAGGGGACTAAACTCCCTGTGAAATTGTCCTTTCTGGCAAGCTCTCATTTGGAAGAAATCAACGAAAGAAAGCATTTCCAACGGTGCTTCTTAAGAAGCACCGTAGGAAACTTTAAATTAGTTGTTCGTTTTGTTATTCGGCGCAGCGCGCACAAGCATTGGAACGACACACAGGCGCGCGCGGTTGCTATGATTCGTCGGATCAGTGCGCGACATCGCGTAAAGCTGCAATTCAAAACAATTCGAAACTTGATTTAGCAACTTTTGATTTTAAATTGAGATCCTAAAATGCTGTTTTTCTTGGAATATGAAGCTGAAGCTGAGCTGAAACTTCATCAAGTAAGTTGTTCAGTATCCTTTATTAGATTTTGAACACTTTTGTTGCTTCAAACGAACAAAATGCACTAATTACAAACGATGGACTAAAGCTTTAAAGATATAGGCCTAGTCCATCATTTGCAGCTACCGAAAAGTAACTGGCGTAACATACTTGGTTGAAAGATATAGAGGGGACTAAACTCCCTGTGAAATTATTCTCTCTGGCAAGCTGTCGTTTTGAAGTAATCCACGAAAGAAGGCCTTTCCAACCGTGCTTCATAAGACGCACCGTAGGAAAATTTAAATTAGTAGTTCGTTTTGTTATTCGGCGAAGCGCGCGCAAGCATTTCCACGACGCACACGCACGCGCAGTTGCTATAATTCGTCGGATCAGTGCGCAACATCGCGTAGCTGCAGTCGGTTCAGCGAGAATGTGGAGCTCATGATTTGAAATTGAGATCCTAGAATGCTTTTCTCGGAATATACAGCTGAAGCTGAGCTGAAACTTAATCAAGTTAGTTTTTCAGTGCCCTTCTTTAGATTTTGAGCACTTATTTTTTTGCTTCAATCGAACAAAATGCACAAATTACAAATGATGGACAATATCTCTAATCAAAGGTTGGAAACCCCTTCGTCCATGCAGAAAAACCGATCCACTTTGTTCAAACCACTGAGCCGGAATTGTCAATATTATTTATTTATCTAGCCACACGTGAAGCTTTCTGTTGCTAGTCATGCAATAAGTGTCATCATTGTTATGGGCATGGCATGATTTTCTGTTAGCCGTCAATCACAGCAATCTCTCGATGTTGTCACTTCCATTTAAAGCCAGCCCAGTGCCCGAGTGATTATTTTAAGCGCAGACTGTGATCAGTGCTAGTCAGCTAACCACATCGTTGTTTTCCCTCACAATGGCGTTCGTAAACGGCCTTTTGATTTTTTAAACATCGAACTTGAAGTCGAATTCTAGAACACCTCTTTTTACAGAAGGACGTTTACTATCTATTCTACTTTGGATTGGTAAATGTAAGTAACACGCCTATTGTTATCTATTCAATATTGTGTTTTGCCCTTCACCAACGTATTTTTTTTTTATAAACACTGTATAACTGTGTTGCCCCCGAGTGATTGTGAGAAGGAAAAAAAAACACAATCGAGTTGGACGCGAACCCACGACCTCCTGCTAACTACGCGGATGTCTTACCACTCGTCTATCCCGGGGACAGCTGGCCGGCTGGTTCTTTTTTCGCAAGCACTCGGAGGCAAGTCTACAGTGTTTTTAAAGATGCGCCTGTGAAGGGCAAAGCACAATATTGAGTTAACATCACCCTAGGCAATTTCTGTCTTATGACTAGTATCGTTTTCTAATTTTAGTTTTCATGTTTGATACAGTAGGCCTATAAAAATGCCCTATGCTGGTAGCTGAATGCAAGGGGAAATGCTATAAAGTGGCTAAACTTGAAAGTAAACAGGAAAATAACAGTCATTGAACGGAATCTTAGGTCTATTTCATCACTTGCAAAATTGTCTAAATGGATTTCAATATATCGTCGAATTTGATCGCCTTTATTCATGGCAGGGGTTCAAAAGTAAAAACTCCCTTAATGTTGCACAACAGCTAAGCTTAAAAAAGCCTTAGCTTTACTACTCATTCAAAATTCATATATAGGGTTCCGTGAAAGATAAACATTAATTAAGGCACCATAGTATACAACGACAAAAATGTTTTGAACAAATGCAACAAAGTTAATTCCATGTTTGCAATTTTGCTTCCGCTATAGAGACGGCAAAACTGACGAGGCGAGTCAAAATGCAGTGGGTATCAGTATCATTGCTGTTATGCTGTAAGTAATTACACATTTATATCTTTTGCGGACTGATGATGTGATCGGGATGCATGCATTGTTACTGTAAACTCTGTATTTTTTAAAAGAAATTACAGGTAAATTGATCGTTAGAGTCCAACACTATTTGTGGGTTGGACGGCAAATGCCGATGTTGACCGGTTGTGAATTACGAACAATTATGGACCGGTTGTGAATTACGGGAAAACCTAATTACAACATGAGAGAAAAATCATAGAACATCGGTGGATTTTTGTTCAATGACAAATTAAAAGTGAATAACTTTTTGAATTGCTTGAAAACTAGTGCTTGAAAAAAAATCTAATTTTCCGAAGTGTTAGTAGAACAAGTGTAAGTCAGAATGTCTTTGTCTTTTGCTGTCTGTCTGTCCGTTTTGTCTTGTATGGCATCCCCAGCTCAAGCAACTGCTTACCGGGACATGCCTCCATTTTCACCTTTGTTAATTTCAAGATAATATTTAATATACATGTACACTTGTTTGAGTAAACACCAATTGTTATTCTTTATTTAGCTGCATTTAATAAACTGAGAAATGGGAATAAATGTGAATTAATTGAAAAAAACATAGCACGGGGAATTAATTTTTAAATACATTTACGGGCAAATACGCCATTCGGGAAATCTTAACTACATCTCAGGGACGAATCATTGAACTACGCTTTGTGAACTGCTGCAATTTTTTCTCCTGAAAATGATGTTAATGCATTCACTTACAATCACGAGGGAATTCTGACGGTATTTCGGTCTGTAGGCCTACTTTAAATTACCGTAACTAATCACGAGCAGTACAATGTTGTCGAATTTGATTTAAAAAATGAAAAGGAATTGTTTTGCAGCAGTAATACTTCTTTGAATAGCTTTTTTTAGAAGGTGTAATTAATTCAGAAATATTTTCTCGTTCATTGGAGCAGGTGGACTCGTCCAAGCGTGCAAGAACACTGATGGAATCGTGTTCTTGGAACGAGGCCAACGAGGGGTCGTGCCCTGTCCTCTCGTAGAATCCTGCAAAATCCCCAGTGGATACATGTTAGCCATATACTGGTACTATGGCTCAACAAGGGACACATCCTTGCTCATCTCGCACTTCAGGGGAAGAGTGGCTCCTCAAAACGGGATCCCAGAGGGCGTCTATGATATCGACAATGAGTTCAGTCTCATCATTGAGAACGTCACCGCCTCCAATGAGGGAACCTACTACTTTCAGGTGACACTGCGTTCGAGAATAGTAGAATCAGGAAAGGTACAGGTCTGTGACAAGGGTAAGTGCACGACTATAATTTTTTCATGATCATGCAACCAGGTGCGGTTCTAGATCCAATATTTTAAGGGGAGTAGACCCTTCGCACGTGAGGTCACGTTATATATTCTAACGATTTTTGGGGGGCTGCTTTGGCAAAACAGCTTTTGTTTTTGATATTCTAATTTTTTTCCAGACTCCTGCCCATAGCATTTGTGCACGTTTTCATCGTGCCCGGCACTTTGGGCACTAACATTCATCCGATTGCCTCTTTGTTTTTGATATTCTTTTTTTTCCAGGCTCCTGCCCATAGCATTTGTACATGTTTTCATCGTGCCCGGCACTTTGGGCACTAACATTCATCCGATTGCCTCTGTACTTACTTGGCATACAAATAACTCAGCACCTGCAGATTTTTGCCTAACATTGACGTCATTATAACGCCATCACGTGTCGCGTGGCGTTACGTTTTGAAGGCCTATAACTATAATGGTATATTTTGCCCAGGCTGTTCCACCTACGAGCATTGGCGTATGAACAGCATTGTACTCTTCCACATTACTCTTTGTTCTCAATTTCCCTATTCGTTAACCTTAATTTATTTAATTAACTTCAAAGTATATTTTTACTTAAATCACTGTTTTGTACTTTATATTATCCCACTTTGTATTGGTTCACTAGAGAGTTCAAATTGAATTTTGAAATGTTCCTCTCTGGAATATCTCAAAATGGAGATCCCAGCCCATTGATGATGATGCATTATTCAAATAATGTTTTATCTCACTGTATTGAATTTTATTGTATTTGTAATGTATTGTATAATTATTCATGTTTGTGGTCATTATTAATTGTATGCAGGGCCCCAATGAAAACCAGTTTTAAACTGTTTGGGCATACCCTGAGTAAAGCAATGGGATAAATAAATAAATATATAAATGATAGCCTACACGATCGCTCTGACGATTAGTATACCCAGGGGTCTGATCTGATTGGCGGAGTCTCTGGTTTCTTTAGCCAATTTTGAACGAGTGAGGGCGCTCTTGCAACGCTACTTTCTTGGTATGCAATCACAGAGAAATCCCGTTCATGTAAGCAATTGAGTAGCTTTAACTTTAAAAAGAAAATTGTAAAATAGTAATATAATAATAATATAATAATATTTAAAAGCAAAACATGAAAGCAGCCTCACTCAAGAAAAAGGCTTTCCCACTCCAAAATTTTAATTTTCTCATGGGTTTGCTTCCACGTTAACTTCTTTCCGAATTCTTCTTACCAACAGTGTCCCCGAGTCGTCCATATCCTACCGTCATCGGCTGCAATCAAGACCACGACGCAGACACGTGTGAGGTGAGAGTACGACACGACAGCACGGTGCGTTACCTGATCTGCGTCATGGAGCAGGTCAAACCTGCCGTCCAATTGAGGTGGATCCGTCTGTTTCTTGGCGGACAGACGGAACTCAGCGCCTACACAACTGTCAGGCCTGTAGTTCTACCGGCCTACACGGGTAAGCAGTGTTTTTCGGAAGATTGCATTCCCCGTTTTTTTTTTTTCAAGTTTCATTACTAAAAAGTATTATCCTTTTCGAAATAACTTTTGTCTTAGCAATAACAAAAGTATTCCCTTTTTTGATATCGACAGAAACAAAATCAGCCCACGTTTTAGTTTTTATGGAATCGTTAGACTGCAACTTGCGAACTGCTTAGTGGCAGTCCGACAATAAGTCGCAGGGAAGGCTGGTTTCCGCCCAACAGTCAGTATCGATAATGTACGGACTGGGAGCCAGTCTACTCGCTAGACAGATCTTTTTGAGCAAAACAACACCCATTTTCTTAAAGGGTTGAAGACGCCCTTCCAAAAAATTAAAATAGGGGGAGGGGGAGATATTGAAAATGAATTTGAAAATGCAATAAGAGAACAACAAAAAAACACAGTTTGTTGATGAGCGACGGAAACGCAACTTGAACATCGTGCAGAGTATTGCTGTTTCATTTTGACTGTTTTTGTTAGAATAAGCTAAGGTGGTTTAGCAAGAAGGGCCTGCAATACCAATTTCAGTTTCCCCAGAGGTTGGACGTTTCTTTCCCGACAGTATGCCCTGTCATGCTTGCCTTGCGGAGTTGGTACAAAAAGGGGTGAATTCTTTCGCAGAAAAAAAATAAACAACTCAAACACATCCCTATTTGTTTTCGTTTTGCTCAAAGAACCGTGGATAGAACTTTAAGCTTTAAGACGGTGGTTGTGTTTAAAATTCCGTAAGTAAAAAATTACATGAGTGATTTGAATGATTCTTGTACTAACCAAAACCTTATGAATTGGGCTTTCATATCCCAGATTTTAAAAGTTCTACATGCAGAACTTCACTAAAACAGTAGTCCCGACATTTGGTTTCATTTTTTTTTTACTCACCATGTAGTCAAGTTGTTAGTTTGTTGTAAGAGTTTGTTTAATTTGAGTACAATTGATGAAATAAGCACAAGAGCAAATCGGCACATAAAAGAGCTCCTGAAAGCTTGTACGTTTTCCCTCTTTGACTGAAGTGCGTTTTGCTTTATAGAACAATTTGTATGGTTACTAAGTTAATTTTGTCAACACAAATATGATTGATTTCAAATCAATTAATCAGGGTCGTCTTTGAGAAACAACACCTCTTCAACTTCAGCATCAGTCCACTTGGCAAGAGTTGACGATGAGGAAGTCTACGAGTGCGAGGCAGTGGGTGTCGCTGTAGGGAACAGTACTCGCACAAGGGTACGCCTTACCAAAACTCACCCCACAACGGTAACTCACCCCACAACGGCAACTCATGACACAACTTACAATAAAGTTCAGTTCTCCAATAATCCACGTAAGTAACAATGACATGTCGGAACCATTTCTTGAGGTGATTAACTGTCAATTTGGTTGAGAATGAATCCTCTCGTGTATCACCCATCGCAGTTGAGCAAAGAACTCCCTCGACGTGACGTCAAATGGGTAGCAATGAAACTCGGGGAACCAATTCGGATTGAATTCTGACTAATTGAATCAAGTCAGACACCGATTGAATCAAGTCACATATCTATCGAATCAAGTCACAAATCAATTGAATCAAGTCAAATTTCAATCGAATCAAGTCAGATATCAATTTAATCCAGTCAGAAATCTTTGAATTAAGTCAGATATCAATCGAAACAAGTCCGATATCAATTTAATCAAGTCAGATATCAATTCAATCAAGTCAGATAAAAATTGAATCGAGTCAGATATCAATTGAATCAACTCAGAAATCAATTTAACAGAGTCAGTTTATGACAACTTGATTTTCTTTCAGAGACAACGCTTGATTTGGCTCATAAAGTATCACCAACTACCCGCAAACCTCTCCGACAACCTTTAGGACAACCCGCGGCTGTGATTGCGTTAGAAGTCCTATTGTCAATCATTGTCATCGCCATCCTCATTATCCAAGTTGTAAGTACAGTTGACGCTCGTTTAAACAAACTCCGTTAATTAATATAAATTTTGGTTATAGTGAACATATATCATTCGTTCCAACCGTGCATTTATGTTTACAATGAATGTGACCGACATTCCTTAAAAGTTATTATAATGATTGTTATTAATGCAGATTATTTTAAAGAAGAAATACAGCAGAGGACAGTTCACATCGCAGACGAGGGTTGCGAACTGGGTCAGATCTCCGGAGTGTAAATTTTATACCGAAATTTTCAAATTGGGAGGCAGATGGGCCGTCCCTTCAGGAACCAGGGACATTGGTGTAGGTGATCGTGTGTAGAAAGTAAAATTGTGTTTCGAGAATGGATGTAATGTCTGATCTTATGAATACTGAAATATTCAGTTTAATTTGCTTGCCGGTGATAAGTTTTTTTTTTTTTTAAAGTGGATACCACATTAAAAATGTAATCTAGAAAAGCGACTTTAAGATTTGTACAATGTAATATTATCTGAATGTAAATATTTTCAATTATGCAAATTGGAAGTATTTCGTATGTATGTATTTTGTATATGTTGATTTTATTGGCGTGTATTTACATAAAATAGAAATTGAAAAGTTGTTATTGTTTGTACAGGTCGTAAATATGAATGAGTATTGTACTCAAGAGGAACGAAAAATTATTATCAGTTTGTGTACAGGTTGCCATTATTAATGTGTATTGCACATAATAGAAATCGAAAAATTATATTCATTTTAGAGCGTGTCGCTATTTTGATTTATTGTTAATAGTATATATTACAATTCTGACCATAAATCATCAATCCGCGTAATAGGATCCATGTTGGCATAAAAGTATTCCGCAAAAGGTACTTATTATTATAATCCAGTTCTACTTAGCTATTGGGGATTTAGAGGGGGGGTTCGCAACCCCCACACCCAATCAGTCGCTGACTGATGTTATGAATATGATACTAGTGAAATAGGCCCAAAAACTTAAATAGAACGCTAAAGTTTTTTTAAGTATATTTTTACGAATGGCTTTATAATGCTGGAGAAAATTCCCAGGGACAAGTTCCCCCGGACTACTTAGCAAGGTATGCCTTCAGCACGCCTTCACTCAACCACCCTTCCATCCACCATCATACTCCACTCCACTTTAAAGATGGATGGGGTATTCTTTCATACAAATATCAGGCCTTTGACTGAGGGTGAATCGACCCTGTATTAACCAGAGATTAGAATCTATCTCAAAAACGACGACACTAAAATAATGGAGAGGTTATATTACTATTGCATGGACAGAGATTATAATTTATCTCCAAAATGACGACACTTAAATAATTGTGGGGTTAAATTATTATTGCATGCACAATGCAGCAGGCCTAGTTGTTGTACTTACTTCCTGTCAGGAATGTTGGGTTTTCAAGGGACTGAGCATGACACATTTAAAGAAAACATGCAATAGGATTTTTGACATTTCGATACATTTAAACAGCCTTCTCGCTATGTAGCTATAACAAAGGTCTGACTTCTCACTCTCCTTTGTAGCAATAAGAGGGAGAAATTTCACCAAAGTAATTTCTATGCTAATTAAACTTTTGCTTGAGCCAAAGTATGATGCCGTTCAAGGAATAACAGTAGTGTCTCCATAGCTTTGTGTACAAAATTAATATATATTTCCCCCGTTTTGGGGGGAGTAAGTTCCACTTTTACTTGTTTATCATGTTAAACAGGTTGTTTGGACAATAGTTACTATTGGCCGACAATTCTTCAAAACTTTGTTGTGGGTAATTTTGAAGGACTAATTATTGTATATACTGTTATTTATAATATATATAATTATGCAGCCAACTGTTAATCTAAAACGTTTGGCACTTGGCGAGTTGTTTAAGTAGTGAGTCTTACACCTCGTATTCCACAAGATTCTTCTCGTTTTTACATATTGACGTCACACACATCACAGCCGAGTGTTATCTATTTTTTTTGTATAAAAGTGATAATGATTTCTCAATATTAATATATTTGAACATTCAGAATAAGAAAATAAAAACATAAAAACTGTCACCCTGAGATGTGTTCCTCCAAAAACCCACGTTTACCATCGGGGTAAAAATAGGAAAACGTGTCTTAAAAGGAAAAACCTATCCTAACATGGATACAATTTTCGTCACTGACACCATGCTGGCACCCTGAGCATGTTGTAGCAATACAGTACGGAGAAAAAACGTTTTGAAAGGATTGACGTGAATTTAATCCATGCTTATACTTGTGTGATTACACAGAAATGTAATTAAGTAATGCTTTAGGCCAAAAAAAAAAAAGTCTCCGGTTTCTGGTATGCGCGCGCGTCGTTGTAGCCATGCGCGTCGGCAAAATGAAAAAGTTTTTTTTTCAATGAAAGATGATGTCTCAAAACCGCCAAACTCACTGGTTTGACTGGAATCCTGCTGCTGCACATTTTTAACGTGTTTTTAGATTGAGTAATGGTCGAGAATAAGCTTTATGTGGCCTCTCTGGACTCCCAATCCCATATAGGCCTATTTGTACTAAGTTTAGTCGGGCTCAATTTGCAGTCATCAGCACACACTTGAAGCAAAAAAGTCTGGTAAAAAAAAAAAAAAGCCGCGTCGCCGCACCACTTTTTGGGCAAGCTCCATACCAGAAACCAGAGACTTTTTTTTTTGGCCTTAACCGGTGAATTTAGATCAGTGTCAGTTCGTGAAAACGAAAATAACCTGCATATGACTTAAAATTTTCTATATCTTTATGGTTCTAGCACGTGCCGCGCACTGACGCACAACTGGGTGTCAGTTCGTGGTGATGAAAAATTGAAATGACAAAAAATCCCGAAAAATATGGAGAGGTCTCCCCACAAAAAAGTACTGTATTCACACACTAAAATACAATTTGAATTCCCAACCAGGTACAAAGCCCCATTAAATGGGCTCTACTACGCGGGTCATACTGACAAAAGTTTACTTACTGGGAACCGTCAATGTTCTGAACCTTGCCCTCACAGTTGACTATCGGGCAAACTCTGCATTTTTAGTTCTGTCGGTGTGTGTTTGTTTAGGTCAAAAGGCTATCCATTTTCGATACGATGCCAACAATAGTCAAAGCGCCAGAAGTTACTAATGGCATAAACAAGGTTCAAAGCGCCTGTGTCTGTTTTTTTTTTGGGGGGGGGGGGTCACTTGCTGAAGAGGGTAATCGGTTGATTTTTAACTACAAATCTGAAAAAGAAGTTTTTTTCACTCGATTTAAGCAGTGGATTATAAACCTATCAATATTTCATTTATGGGAGATTTTCATAAACTTACAAATGTTTTATATACCAAAGAAAATTGTGGAAATTAAAAGAGAATAATTGTGTCAGATAATGAGGGCGTGGTTTATAATAAGACCCTGCCTGCCGATCTTCGCAACTTATAATAAACACGGTGCTATGTATATTAATTCATCTTTGGTATGTAACTACTAGTGCCCAGTAAACAAATGGTATGAGCCCCAATTCCCGTGATAAGAAGCTGCAATTAATTTTACCTGGGTTGGACAGTGATTCGCGGCTTCTTCGACAACAAATAAAACCCAATATTTGTTATAATCAAACAGATTTGTTGTAAACCCCCGGCGTCTGGAAATCAATCCATTATGTTCAGCTCACTACGCTCACTAAATGATTAAATAATTATTTATTGTATTAACACAAAATAAACGTTTTCGTTTGCGTATGTGCCAATTCACCCAAACTATGCATTTTTAGAAACAAACAAAACACGTCACGCAATCCTAATCCAATTGACGTCGTGCCATTAGTATCACGTGGGTTTGTTTATCATTGCGCTTGGCAACCAACAGCAATCTCTGTGACCATTGGCAATTTCAGGGGCACGTGATTATTCGGCGGGAAACGGTTATGATAGGCGGTCTCTAGCACCATTCTGGTCGTGTTTTCCAACAAGGATGTTGTACAAATTACATGTGTGTGCTGTAATTCTCATCGGTAATTGTAAGTAGGACTACAATCATTTCTTTATTTTATTTCACGTTTAATACAGTAGGCCCTTGTCGGTTGATGCATTATTTCAAGTCTGTTTACATGGGCATTTCCACACTAACGGGGTACAAATTACAATTGACTGCCAATTTGTGATATGAGAGGGGACACTGAGTGGTACAGCAAAGCAAGATATTTGGTTCAGTTGTTTCCTGTGCATTCCTGAGACCTTAATGATCATGTGTACAAACAATCCAGATAACCTTCTATGTACTTTAGAAATTGCAGGGGTCATCATAAAAATTACGTACGTAACAAAAGACCGATTTGTTTTGCTACAAATTGACACGACACTAATTGTCATGTGGATGAATTCACCCAAACGTCATCTCATTCACATAATACCCTGTGACATCTGAAATATACCGGTTCGTTGTCTTGGTTTTTACAGGTAAAAATGCTGTAGGGATGGGAATGAAAGGGCACTATATTTGATAAAGACATTTTTTTGTTATTATATAATTTTCTATCAACATAAACAGATTTGTTGCCAAACCCCGGCGTCTGGAAATCAATCCATTATGCATCGCTCGTCGGTTGATGCATTAATAATAAATAGTTAAAATAAAATAATTGCGTTTAAACCGTACAAATATAGAAAAACATTTTAAAGAGGAAATAAAAAGGCATTGAACCCTAGACTTATTTTATCCCTGACAAAATTATCTAGCAGGATTTGTAATTGTAATAAAGCATCGAAATTGATTTCCGCTTGATAAGTCAAATGTTGACTGATAAGTCAAAACGCAAGGGAACAGGTTCAAAATTTCACTTTAGCAGAGTTTTGAGTTAAGCAATCCGGGTTGTATATCATTGTTGTACTGCTGAAGGCAATGGGTTTTTTAAAAACAGTTGTTTCGAGTTATCAGAGTTTGACTTAATGATATTTTACTGTATTCGGGTCCCATTAGGAATATACATTTACAGACATTGAGAAAGAAAATTACCAATTTTTTACGAAATACCTTATAATAGGATGTTGTTAAATCTAAAGCATCCTGTAAAATCAAGGCACCTGGTGTGAAGTCATTTTTAAGAAAAGTGTAAATATCCAACGGTGGTTGGCCGACGACCGTTCGAAAAACCTAACTATTTTTCAACTACCTCTCCAACTTTCTGACTTTTCTGCTAATTAGAAATTCGTTTAAGGTGTTCAAAAAGATTAACATTTAAGGCACCAACATACAATAAATGTAG